AAAACGCAATGCCAGTCTCCACACAACATTTCTCCGGAACATTCATCTATCCTTTACGCCAGAAGAAATACATCAAGCCCTGAAAATTACAACCAACTCCACGATCCACGCAGTCCACCGTATCCAGTCAAAGAAAACAGGTTCAGCCATCACGTTTATGAAAGTTGTCATATCTTCAAAAAATACAGCAGATTTCATCCTCACCCACGGCAGCTTCCTTGATTATCATCACTTCAAGGCATGAAAATCTTACCGCAAACCTCACCCACCCCATACTCTCGCTAACCCACACCTTAAGCCCACGTTTCTCAACACCCAGAAGAAAACCACCCTCCAATCAATACTCTACCGCCCATCCTAATACAACAGACCAAGCTACTCAAACCTCACCCACTCCTGAAACACAAGATATGTCTACCCAAACCACCACTACTAGGAGGAAAAAAGGCACCCAGAACCAGCCACCATTTACCAACAACGCCTATCAACAAACCAACAACACGCCTCCCAGCCCCAAGCCACTTTCTATATCATCGGCGTCAAGCTCACCGAACGCCTTAGTAATCGACACCTCCTCCGATCTCTACCTACCCGACGAACCTTTCTCAGTCTTCCGCTCACTCACCAACGACACCGAGAACTCCACGCCTTTACCACCTGCCCGGAACCAGAAACTGTGCCAATTTAAAACCATGATAAACACCAGGACCGGACTTCACTTTGCCGTCCCTACTTACTTCTCATTAAACGGGCACTGGTAACGAATCAGTAGTTACCAGTGAAAGTGGGTTTTCTCGGGGTACTCCCGTTTCCCCCACATTAAATTCTCGGCATAGGGTTTTTAGATCCCCGCCGCCCTGATGGACCATCTGTCTGATATCGGCCGTTTAGTTTAGTTTACTTTGCTCTTAACTTTTTATTGTCTACAGTTACTCTCTCGTTTATCTTTTTAAAATTACATACCTCGTCTGCATTAATTTCCTATTTTCTCAAGTTAAGCCCATATTCCTAGACCACGAGTGGGGTGAAGGAGGATTGTTTAATCTTCGAGCACCCCAGATTAGTAATTATTTCTTCGGAAATAATTATTCTTATATCTAAATAACTGCCAGGAAAAACGAAACGAATCGGAATTTTATAGCAGACAGGGAGATTGATGATATAGATAGACAATTGAGTCAAGCGCAGTAGTAAGTAAAGTGCGTGAATCGTTCGTTGTAAATTATAGCGTGTGTTTAAGTCAAGGTGACTGTAGAAATTAAGTGTATTGCAAAGTTGAATTGAGAAAGAATAAACTAGTTTATTTGAGAAAGTTGAAGTTCTCCGGAAAGGATTTTTACGAGTAATTAACAAACGACCAGAGACGTAACAATATTTTAGCTAGCAGATCAAATTCGCACACGCTAGCGTATCACACCGTCTTATAAGCTAATACCCCCACTTTTCACTATTATGTTTCTACACTCCATTCTAGATACTACAGTTATTTCAATTCTAACTATAAACACCAGTTTATATTGAATAATAAATTCACAAATACAGCCTAATCCTCAGTAAACAAAACACATACCTGCAACTTTATCATTTAACATAGTGAAATTTATTTACTTTTTAATTTTGTTTCTTAATCTTCTTGTTTTTGTGACAAATCATAATTTCAATTTATCTTTAGTTCTCAAGTTCACTTAAGTAATTTATGTCAAATATGTGTATGTATATTAATATAGTTAGTATCCCAGCTATATAATCTTAGAGCAATTGTCACGCAACAATAATATTCTGAATATTGTTAAAATCATGATACGACCATCTCTAAAAATGAAACATCAAAAGTGACTTAATAAGTTAGTATATCTTTTTTTTTGTTCGTGTCCTAGCATGTAGTTGAACTGATAATACGAGGGTTGAAATTAAATAAATGTCAGGAGAGTATAGGTCGTTTTTTATATTGTTGAAAATGTCAAAATCACTCTAATATACACTATAAGTTCTGTAAAATTTCTAAAGTGTTTAATACCAAAAATTTTAATAATTAGTTACTAAGATTACTGTTTTAAGTGTTTTAGTTATTGGCTTATTGCAATTCTAAATTAATTAGTGTTGAGGTACTATATCACTATCAGTATATGTATTAGCAGTATTTATTAATCATGGCAAAGAAAAAGGATACAAGTACCGAAGAAGATATGTCAATTGGACTTGGTAAGGACAGAGATTAATCATTGTTTATTGCATGTTTGTTATTCGTGATTAAAAATAGAAGAGAGAAGTAAGAAAAAAAAAGATTAAAGTATAAAACAAGAACTTCAGAAGTTAACACTAACAGCAACATTATTCTAGTCCTAGAAACGAGTAGGCCTATTACGTGTAATACTATTACTAGTACTAGTTCAACTCAATATAGGCCTAACAGTAGTGTTAATAATAATATTTATATACTACTAAAACTCAGAGATTGTTTGTTTGTGTGCTTGTCTGTAATTAAAAACAGAATAAAACAAGTTTCGTTAAATCGGGCGACGGGTTACCGAGTTAGCGCCGTTTTTCGGGTCACTTTTCGTACATCCAATTATTATAAAACTTCGTTTTCCACCTGATGAATCACTTTAAAATATTTTCTATACAACAATATATGCACAACAGAAATTAAATGATGAGATGAAAATGTGTCATAATGGGGCTTAGAAAGAACAATAAAATGGACCTACAATATTATTGACTATTTGCAAATAGTAACTATGGAGACGAGGTAATAAAATAAAAATCAAGTCGACAACAACAAAATTTTATAAAAGAAAACCTCCGGCCAAGCATTGGCTATTATATTATTTCCCTGACAATGTTCCCATCTTCATTAAAAGGCGTAAGATGACAAAATGACAAAAACAAGATCTTGAGAAATCTATCGATATACTACTAAAACTCTGAGATTGTTTGTTTATTTCTTTGCTTATTTTCTCAGTCAAAAAATCATGCACACTACCGTTCGCGCTCTCTACGAAACTTCTTACTTCACTTTATTGAAAAATGAAATGGTTTTTCCTTTTACTCCCAATCAAACATCAAATATCTTTTCTTGAATTATGAATAACACGAATGGATTGAAATATTTAATTAAACTATCTCAAAATAAACCTTCATTTCGGTACAATATTGAAATTATCGAATATTGAAATTAGCTTGAATTCTTCATAATCTCTGAATAGTGGTTGACCCAACAGGTCACGGTGGTCTAGTTACTATTAATAGCTGGCATACTTCTACCACATTTTGATAAAAATTTTAGAAAAAATGACCTTTATACTCCAGATATATATGTATATATATATATATATATATACATATATATAAGAATTATTTTATTTTAACTAATGTTTCACCTTTGCGGCTTCAACAGATGTATATTATTATCCCTGATGAAGCCGCAAAGGCAAAACGTTGGTTGAAATATTTAAAAAAACGTTATATATATATATCTGGAGTATAATGGTCGTTTTTTCTAAACATTTTATCAAAATGTGTTTATCCCTCCAGTATGCAATACAAATTTTGAAAGACAACCAAATACTTCAACCACACTTCTACTACTATTAGTAGTACTAGAAGTTAGAACTATACTATAGTATCAAGTGGCTGTTAGTGTTACTGTTGGTCATAACTGACAAAAATAGTAATTACTTACATTTATCCTTTTAAGTTTTCATTTTTTCTTTAAAAAATGAGTATAATATTTTTTACTTGAAGTCGAAACAATTAAGATTAATTTTACAATTAAATTTAGCTATAGTATTAATTTTAAATGCTATATAATAGAACTTAGTTAAATTAATTCAATAAAAATGAGCTTTGAAATGCTAGTGATAGAAACTACTGGTTATGTACATATGTAATAAATGTAAGTTATGGATTTCTTTATTCTCTAAGATCTTATAAGTATAACTATTTTATTTTACTAGGCCCTACTTCTTTTTATGTTAGTAGTATCTCTTGGTTATGTACATATTTAATGTTAGAGTTAATGAGTTTATTCTTTTTGTAATCCTATTTTGTTTATACTTCTTTATATGTTAGTGATTTTAAAATGTATGTACTATATTATAAACACCAAAAACTTTACCCAAATTTCCAAATGGAAATAATTTATTGTGAGCAGATGTCAGTTTGCTTTTTGAGCTTTAAACCTATTCCTTATATTATTCAAGTTTGATGTCCAAATTTTTTTTTATTCTGCCACTCAAAGAAACGACCTTAAAATGTTGCTAAAGCTCCTAAAAGTTTTATACCTGATCCAAGAGTTTCCTCTGATTCTTCTATGCTCTTAGTGAGATTATATCCAAAGCTTTTAGTATAGCTTACAACAACCTTATTCTAAAAGTCACAAGATGTCTGTGGTGGTCACTGATTTGATTTACATGCAATATTCACAGTGTACATACACATTTTCAGAGTACCTTTTGCATTACCAAGCTATTACAGTAACTCACTTCTTTGGTAACTTGTTCAAGACACCTAGTGAATGTAGTTTAATAGCTAAAACATTGTTTTTTTTATTGTGGTGACATTTAATGACATTTTTCACAAGACACAAATCTCTACTTATATACATAAGATATGGACAACAAGGAACCATTTTGTTCTTCAAGGCTATCCATGCAGCCACCTTTGAGAAAAAAAATCTAAATGCATCCTTTATTTTTCAGAAAATCATTGATTCCCCATTTTTAAACTCTTGTTAAGTACCGGACTCCACCACTGCTACATCAATTCATTCCATAAGGTAATCAATGTGTTAGAAAAAATATAACTTAACTGGAGCCTTGCCTGTCTTTTTCCAAAACTCAAACTCGTGTTTTCTTCAAATATTGTCTTCAGAAGATCTTTATCCTGTCAGTACCCCAGATTTATGGAGGGAGGTAATTATCTCCTTTGACTTGTAATCAATACGTCTATAAGTGCACTATAATTCTGTTAGCTTTTTCTACTAGCAACATATCACAGTTTTGATGACTTGATTGATTTATCCTTCACTATACCAAACTCATTTTCTTCAGTCATGCTATTAAGTGGATTCACATCTATATTAAATGTGAGATTGAAATTATAAACCAAATAAATTATATCACTTATTGTAAGTAAAGGCCACTTGCCAGATATTTGTTTGACTAACTAGCTGCTCTTAAGTCATTTTGTTGTACCACAACATCCTCAGTACAGTTAGAAGTATCCAAGATTTAATATTATCCTCAAACTTAACTAAATTACTAACTTATTTTTTTGTAATGTTCCATTATACCAAAAAATTTTAATAACTCTTAAAATTATGTAAATATACAAGTATGTGTGTGTGTGTATATATATATATATATATATATATAAATATTTTATTCATATAGTAAAAACTTACCAGTTGTGGGCATTTAAAGGAACAGTACCTTTTTTTCTTTTTTCAAGGGTGAAACTACTGTAATTGAAATATAAAGTAGTAAGAGTTTTTTTTTTGTATAATGAAACTTTTCTTGGAAAAAAGGTACTGTTATTATAATGTTTCACAACTATACTTGGGTGAGTAGTGGAATTTGATTATCGATTAACTGTTTAATTGATTACCTTTAATTGACTAGTTTTACATGACACTTGAATAGTTGAAATAATCAGAAACATTAATTTTGAATGATTCATTATTTTACATAATATTAATCAATGTTCACAGGTAATCTGTTATATTGATTAATCAAGTTAATAACCCTGCTCTAGCAAAACATAAAAAAAATTCTAAATTACAATTCTCCTTATGCTGTATTTTAAATTGAATATTATTTTGCTTACTATTGAAAAAGTTGAAAAACCTTACTCATTTACTTTTAGTTTGAAAAATTATAAATGTAATATTAACATATATTTTATAGTAAATTGGTTTAAATTCCCTATGGTATTCTTCCAACCATTGTTTTTCATAATAACACAAAATTGAAAGACCTAAAACTGGTACTGACCTGAAATCAATAGTTACCCAATTTGATCATACATTTCACCATTAAATATGAAAGGTAATTGTGTAGTAGAAAATCAAGTAATTTCCTAAACAATATCATGGAAAATCTGTTAGTAATTAAGTAATACTTGCTTTTTTGTTCTAAAAATATTTCTTTAATTTACTTTCTCTTCTTTTTGTTTGGACAATTATTTAATTTTTTAAATTTTGCTTTATCTCTTAGGGTACCTTACTTTACTTATATTATCATTTTTATTAGGTAGAACTACACCATTTACTTTTTCTTGTTTAGTTATTAGTGTATACGTTTGTTTTTAACTCAAATGCTTTTAATTCTTCCTGGTTTCTTATTTTCATTACACTCATTAAACTTAACAAGTTAAAGCAATTTCTTTTATACCTGTTCTGAAACTTTGAAACGGTTCTTCACTATTTGGCTAAATACAATACCTTTTTAAGTTGTTGTAATAACTGTTAAAAATTCATTACTAATCTGCATAGTAAATTTTCACTTTTATATAGCAGTCTTAACTGTTTGGTTAACAGAACCAGGTAATTAACTCAGTTAATCTAAATCATCTATTACTTATAAGCATTGATTAGTGTCAAGTAAAATCATCAGTTAATTTCATAGAAATAATTAACTAATTGAAATGAGTATTTTTTATTGTTAATGTTTTTTTTTTATTATTCCAACTATCCAATTAATTGAGATATAGACATTATTATTTTTGATTCACTTAAGGTTGTTCAACTTAATTGACTAGTGTTACAATTCATGAAAATAATCAACTATTTAAGATTGTTGTTTCCAATTAATTATATTTTCAGTTTTTCAAACTATCCAAGTAATATTAGCTATTACTTCTTCCATTGGCACGATTGCGCACAACAGTATATGAGTTATGCTTGTAAGCAACTCGCTAATGTGAGAGTGTGACCTATTGGCCATTACATAACTAACGACAGTGATGCCTGTTGTTCATGTTTACCTTGAATGTCTAAATAACAGTGTAGTTTTAACTTAATATGTTGCTTACGTATTACAAGCTGTAAATGTAACCAGTGTTACTTATGATAAAAGTGGTTTACTTAAGAAAAGTTAAAGAAAGTTAATATTCGTTATTTTTTATATACTGTAGTTTTAAAAGTTTGAAATAAGCTGTTTACTTTTAAACTCCAAGAAGTAAATGTGTGTAAAACCCTCTGT